CTTGATTGTTGACTTTGACACACATACACCTACCTCCTGGAGAGTGTTCTTGATCTGGCCAACTGTTGTGAAGGGTGTTTTCTTCACCAGGGAAAGAATTCTTTGGTCATCCACCACAGTTGTTTTCCATGGTCTTCCAGGTCTTTTGGTGTTGCTGAGCTCACCGGTGCGTTCCTTCTTTTTAAGAATGTTCCAAACAGTTGTTTTGGCCACACCTAATGTTTTTGCTATCTCTCTGATGGGTTTGTTTTGTTTTTTCAGCCTAATGATGGCTTGCTTCACTGATAGTGACAGCTCTTTGGATCTCATCTTGAGAGTTGACAGCAACAGATTCCAAATGCAAATAGCGCACTTGAAATGAACTCTGGACCTTTTATCTGCTCATTGTAATTGGGATAATGAGGGAATAACACACACCTGACCATGGAACAGCTGAGAAGCCAATTGTCCCATTACTTTTGGTCCCTTAACAAGTGGGAGGCACATATGCAAACTGATTTGGATGTAAATACTCTCAAATTAAAGCTGACAGTCTGCAGTTAAAGCACATCTTGTTCATTTCATTTCAAATCCATTGTGGTGGTGTATAGAGCCAAAAATGTTAGAATTGTGTCGATGTCCCAATATTATGGACCTGACTGTATGTCATCACCACCCAATGCCAACAATATATAAATATGGAACCAAATCTGTAATTCTCCCAACTTTGTCCATAAAGTGTAAAAGCGAATGTAGATATATTATTTTTCAATAAGCTACTCTGCTTAGGTACTTATTGACTATATACAGTCTGTCCTTTACGGCTGTTTGATTTTTTTTTGTTATATTTTTTCAGATTTAAGCCCACACCACTATTTATGGTGAGAGAGAGAGCTAATAATTAGACTTATTTGCCTATTTTTGTGGTACACACTTAGTTTATTTGAGAATGTAGATATTGTATTAAATGGTTCCCAGTGCGCTTCACCCAGAAAGGGCTTCTTCGGAGGAATGAGTTTTTTTTTGTTCTGTCTGATCATCAATTGTTAAGGTTACGATCATCCATACGTGGATTACTTCTAATACAATAAATATCCACTTCCAGACAAGGCCTTTTCTGGCACCTTTTGCTTACAGTATTTTTTGCTAGAAAAATATTTTTTTCTGCAGAACCCCCAAGCATATTTTTTGATAAAAGCAGAGGCCCTACATAATAAGTTGATGGGTTTTACAATTTTTTATGCCACACAGTATTTGTGCAGTGATTTTTTCAAAAGCAATTAAGTTTTAATGCAAAAAAACACAATACGTAACCCAATTTGCTTGTAAACTAAAAAAGATGATGTTATGCCAGGTAAATTGATGCCACACATGTTGTACTTTACTGCCCATGCAATGGCAACAAACCACGTAAATTTTACAATCCATAGGTGACGCTTTAAAAACCTTTACAGGTTACCACTTTAGATTTACAAAGGAGGTCTGGAACTATAATTACTGCCCATGATCTGACGCTCACAGTGATATCTCACACTCTTATATGTGGGATGATCGCTGGTTGTGTGCGTGCAGGACCGGTGTGTGCATTCGCCTTTGCGCACAAGCACGGGGGACGGGGCACTTTTTAAAATGTATATAATTAGTTTGTTTTAACACTGTCACTTTAATTTTTTTTAAAGCTTTTATTGCTGTCAAAGAATGTAAACACCCTTTGTGACAACAATAGGCATGTGACAGGTACACTTTATAGTGATGAAACATGGGGAGAGGGATGGAAATTAAATATGGATTTTTATACTGTATGTTTCTGGTTTAATATGGATTTGTATAAAAATAAATTAATAAAGATGTAATTATAAAAAAAAATACACAACTTGAATTTCTGCTGTTTCCTATTGTTATATGGGCTGAGCTCTAGAAATGTATACATGTATGGCTGGCCTTAGGCTACACATCAAGGCAATTACATGTTGAAAGAGGACATAAAAAGCCATTATCAATCATATTAAGATTGGAAAATTAGAGCTGCAAATTTCAAAGAAACCTGTCAACACCCAGGCCATGTACCATGTAAACTGTAAGACTTCCCCCACTTAGAGCCTTGGAGGCTTGAAACACCTGAGAATACCAATTTAGAGCAGTTAGAATAACGAATGGAATATGCACATTGTCTGATGTGAGTTGCTGCAACTTGCCTTATACTGTATAAACGTTATACTTGTGAAAAAAAAGGTTAAAGCGCTTTTTATAAAACACATGAAAAAAGACAAAGGCACAAAAATAACTTGCTTCCCATATTGACAAATCAGATTTTTTTACTTCAGTTTCCTAGAGGAAAAAATTTGGAAAACCTGACTGGTACTTGTTGGCATCAACACACCTTTGTTCCCTTTTTAAGTACTGTCCACCATTTTTAACTGGTGTATGAGATTTTCTGACTCAGTTTATTAAAAAATGCAATCTAAATAGTATTGCTCTATTACTGAAATGTGGGGTCTTGTGAGCTACTATGGTGTACACTGCACTATTTAAAATAATACCAATGCTGTGTAATAAAATTATCAAAAAATGGTGTAAATAAATAAATGAAAATATGTGGTTCGCTTACACGCTACACATACTCATACCATTGTGTCACAGAGAAATACAAATAAGAAATAGTGTCGCGCTCCAATACCAATTGAAAAAATGTGTAAATAAATAAATAACAATCCAGCTTCACAACTGTGCATAACGATATCTCTGCAATTATATTATTGCTAGAAACATGTCCTTATAAAAGCCTTGTCTTTGACACTTCTTCCAGTGCTACGATATTGTCCATGACAATGGAGGAAAGAAATGTTATGAGGGCTCATTGTCTGGAGTGTGTTCCAGGAAGATGTGGTTCCCATCTGCTGATGTTGTCATGTATTGATAAAGATCTTCCTCTGCCGTAACACAATTACTACTAAGTAAGACCTCTTATGTGTTGGAGCCCTTGAAACCCTTATTATAGGATTCTTTCTTTTTTTGAATATTAAACATTGTAGGTGTTTTAAATTGAACCTGAAAGGTAAATATTTTCTATGTTATAGAGAGAATTTAGAAATGTCATCTGTGCCTCAGCAGTACTCTTAAAAAAATATTTTTATTACAGGTACTTACAGTATATAGCACCATCAATCAGCGCTTTACATATACACTATATTGCCAAAAGTATTAGGACCCCCCCCCCCCAAATCATTGGATTTAGATGTTTCAATCACCTCCATGGCCACAGATGTGTACAATTCAGCACTTAGGCATGTCGACTGCTTCTACAAACATTTGTGAAAGAATGGATCGCTCTCGAAGCTCAGTGAATTCAAGCGTGGTACCGTAATAGGTTGCCACCTGTGCAATAAGTCCATCCATGAAACTCCTTGCTACTAAATGTTCCATGGTCAACTGTTAGTGGTATTATAATAAAGTGGAAGTAACCGGGAACAACAGCAACTCGTTTGCAAAGTCTTTGTTGTATTTTATGTACAATGTTGATATATCACTATGAGTGTGGCAAGAACCTGCCCTTTGCCAACCAAATGTTCAGAGATATGGAATAGCAAGCTTTTACTTGAGTAATGTAGGCAAATCTATATCATGGCAGATGTACCCAGAAGCACAAGCACTGAAATACAATAAGTATTGGGGTTTGGTGTGGATGTAGAGGGGAATTCCAGCTGCTTTATATACAAATAGAATGAAGTAGATGGAAAGTTTCATTAAGTGGAAATTTAAATGGTATTTTTCTTTGTAAATATCACTTATTTTTTAATATCGTACTAGTGCGCCACTTCATATGTAGATTTAAAGCATCCCCAAAGCAGGTTATTTAGAGGAATTGTGTATATTTAATGTTGTTCTTTAACCACTTCCCGACCACGCTAGAGCCAAAAGACTGCTACAGCACGGTTGGCTAGTTTTGGGAGGGCGTCCATGGACGTTCTCCCAGAACAACACCCCCCATGTGCCCCCTGGGGCATGCGCTGTGTATGATCTGTGATCGCTGTGTCCTTCAGAAACATCTGATCATGTATCCAAGTTGGGGGCCAATCAGAGCTGCCTTTTACATGACCAGCTGTGTCCAATCACAATTGATCACATCACAAACAGGCAATGCTGGTTATTGGCAGTCCTCTCCTCACGCTGACAGCATGTGAGGAGAAGAGAGCCAGTAAGCAGCATTTCTTAGGGGGACATTTACACTGATCAGCAGGGCACTGATCATCAGTGTGATCATCAGTGTAGACCCATCAGTGCTGGCTTTCAGTGTACAATAGTGCCCATCTGTGCTGTTGGCTTTCAGTGCCCATATATCAGTGTCCATCTGTGCTGGCTTTCAGTGGCTATCAGTGCCCCTCAGTGATGCCTGTCATTTGTGCTGGCTATATCAGTGCCGATTCTCAATGCCCATCAGTGCCACCTGGTTTCAGTGCCATCATCTGTGCTTCTCAGTGCTACATGTCTTTGCTAAAAAGAATATCAGTTCCACCCAATACATGTAAATTAATTGGTTATCAGTGAAAGTGCTTATAGCGTTTACAAATGGCCCAGCAGTGCATCCTATCAGTGCCCAGCAGTGCAACCTCATCAGGCATTTTTTTTTTACAAAACTTTTCAATAGAAACTAAGAAAACTTTTTTTCAAAGTTTTTGGTTTTCTTTGTTTGTTTAGCTAGTAATTAACCACTTGCGGTGGATCAGCAACTTTATGCGGGAACTGTGGCGGTCATGCAACACTGCACCCAAATGGGGGTCCTTTCATCCCATAAATTACTTGGTGATCGCGTTTTTTATTTTTTTTGCTATAAAAAAAAGGCCGACAATTTACAATGACATTATGTCCCCAGTAAAAAATTTAAAAAAATCACCAATACAAAATGATCAGTGCCCCAATAAAAAAATTGGTTTATGTGAAAGTTATAGCGTTTACAAATGGCGGTATATATACTGGGATTTTTTTTTTTTAAATTTTTACTAGTAATAGCGGTGATCAGCAACTTATAGCGGGACTGTGGCGGGCATTTTGACACTGGGGGGAACTGACTTGGTGTCACTGACATCCCCAGTAACACCAATACAGTGATCAGTGCTAAAAAAAAGCACTGACAGTGTACTAATGACACTGGGCAGAAAAGAGTTAACATGAGGGGCGATCAAAGGGTTAACTGTTTTACTAAGTGCTATGTCTGTGTGCTTCAGTGTAAGCACACTGCTTTGCATGGCTGTGCTCTGCACAGCCATCCAAAGCAGTTTGCACGTGCTGACAGGGAGGAGAACTGTTTTGTTTACAAACAGTTCTCCTCCTCATTGGAGATGCTCAGCAATCACCGGGCGCCAACGAGTAATCACGTTCTGAGACCCGGTGATTGACAGCCACGGCCACGAATGGGTGATCGTGCGTGCCTTGCGCACGCTTCCTACCCGGCAATGCAAAATCACGTATATATACCTGATTTTGTGCACCCGTGCCACCCTGTAGCAGTATTTCTGCTATAGGGCAGTCGGGAAGTGGTTAAATACCACCAGAGAAAGCTCTATTTGTGTCAATAAATTATACAAATTTAATTTGGGTACAGTGTTGCATGACAGCGCAATTGTCATTCAATGTGTGACAGCGCTGAAAGCTGAAAATTGGCCTGGGCAGGAAGGGGGCAAAAGTACCCGGCAGGCAAATGTGTAAGCTTTTTTAAAAGAGCTGCTGAATGGTGTTTTGCTTTTATTGTATTTTTTTTTTATTGCAGGGCAGTGCACTGCATCTCATGACCTTTGCTTGACAATCCCCTGCCTATAAGACATGAAAATGGCCTTGATTACAAACAAAAAAATAAATGTCACTTTTGCTTGGTACATCCTACAGATGCACTACTGTTCAAGAAGGTTAAAGACATCCCCCAAGCATGTTACCTAAAGGAACTGTATTGTATTGTTTACATTAAGCTTTATTAAAAGAGCTGTTCCTTGACAAACTGTATTTTTAGACAATTTAGTTTGCCTTGTTACAGTTCCCTCCTGGCAGTAAACAGCTCCGTATGTCCTTTGTTTTACAATCCCTGGCCTATTAGCCTTCAATGTGGAGAGAAATCATTTTCAAGATTCACCTTCAATTGACATCAGTAGGGTATGCAATAAAGTTCACATTCTGTGGGTTTTTGGACATGATCGCTGAACGTGCCGGGAACTGAACGTAAGCAGATTTGGCTATCACTAGTAATACCAGACTTGTCATAATAACAGCAGTTATGTTTGCAATGGTACTTTGCACATTCCTAAAACATATCAATATTTTGTAATACAGAAGCATTTCTAATAACCACATCAACTGCACAAACAATTAACTAACCCTGTCTAATGATCTATTAATACCCTTTCTTGTATTGGAAAAATTGATTGCGTAATCTAATTTTGCATCTGACTGCAAAAAGCAAGCTATGAGAATCTCTTTTAGGTTTTAAAGTCCAAAAGAATTTAAAAAAACAACAACATTATGTTCAAGAAACAAAGCATCTTAAAAATACTAATAATTCAACATAGGATTGAAGCACTTGTAAACATAATAGCTCAGAGCGACTTTTCAATCAGTTTTTATTCATTGTTTAGTAGCTCATGGAATATATTGAAGTCATTCCGGATACTTGACAAGTAACAGTGCTTCTATCTCCTTTCCTCTTTTCTGATTGCAGAGACTCTCAGAGGCAAAGAAGGAGCTGTGGAGAAAAGATCAATCTTCACGTCAACAGAGCTCACAGATGACCCAGCTGGAGTAAAACAAGTGTTGACTGGAAGAGAGCATTGCCAGTGCAGAAAGTGCCATGCCTATGGCAGCCAAGTGAGTTCTGACACCTCAGGGAAAGCACTTACAACAAACAAGAGATCAATTTATGCCTTCATGCTGAGATTCTTTATTTATTGGGATAAAAAATGTTCAGAAAAACAAAAGGTACCACTGATTTTTTTTAAACTTTAAAAATAAAAATCACCATTAAAACATCAGAATTCATCTCCCCAACTGAAGGAATTGAACTATAGGTTTAAGGTAAACTTCAGGGATAATGTCTCAGTTTGGTTATGTTTCATTGCCACAGTTTTCTTAAGATTTAGATGGAAAAATGTTAGTATTCTTTCTGGGTTGATGATTGAAATTCATTGAAAGATTTATGAATTACATTTTAAATAATATTTCAAACATGTCACTAATACCTATAACAATTTGACACACTTCATAAAGATTCTTCAGCTTTTAAGTGTCACTTAGTGGTTGATCAACTTTAGATAGTCTTTGCGGCATTGGAATTGACACAGTCATTGTTAGACTTTCTTGGCCATAGTAAGCCCCCAAAATATGTCCAGTAGAAAAAAAAATTTAATAAATAACCAAAATATCCCTAGCGATAATAAACTTTGAAAACAAATTAGACTGTTGTAAACTCCATCTGTATTTAAAGTATATGTAAACCCTAATATTAACTGCTCCTATTTGCTTCCTTTTGGTCTGTGAAATATACCATATAAAGTGAAAATAAGTGTTAAGTAAGTTCAATAGTGTCACGTACCTTATAGCAGAGCCTGATGTGTAGAGGGAGGCCTTTCTTACAGTTCAGGCTCAAGGACCACTGGTGTTGAGACAGTAGCCACGAGAGCATGGCAAGGTACATGTGCTGTAGAGTGTCCAAATGTCCATACAGGTAAGTAGCAGGTGCTTCTCCAGGGAAAGGTCAGATGGCCAGTACAATGGTGGCAGCAGAAGCAGCATACCCTGAGCCTGGCAGACAGCACTCTGGCAGTTGCTTGGGGGGCCGATGGTTGGCCACAGGTGCAAAGGAGTCTGGCAGCATGTGGCAGGTGAAGGCCCAGCAAGGACCAGTTAAGTATCATGCAGAGCTCGGCAGATGGATAACAGGATGTGTGGTTAGATGAGCCAGATCAGTAACAGATGGTCAGGGACAAGCATGGGCAGCAGGCAAGAGCATGAGCAGGATACAGGCAGAGGTCAGCAACACTGGAGCAGGCAAATGAGCAGGAGGCAGAGCAGAGTCCAGAGACAAGCCAGTGTCAGGGCAGGTAGCATTCAAGCGTGGTCAGGACAAGCTGAGTCAATCACAGGAGTCAGATACAAGAGCAGATGGAGGGACATGGAGAGCTTTAGATCAGACAGCACTGACCAGCATAACTGCTGCACTAAAATAGCCCATTTGATGCCAGTGGTAGTGGTGGGTGCACTTGGGCATGTCTGTGTATAGCACAACAATTACCCGCAGGACTGCGCCTGCACATCTGTATGCGTCTTGAGCCTTCATCTGTACTATGACCAGTGCTTTCCTGACAGATGAGTGCAAAGTGTGTGTGTGTGTGTGGAGGGGGGAGGGTGTTTGTATTCCCAAAAAACTTTCAGACATAAGGTAAAACTGTTGCTTCTCCATAGATAAAATACAGCGAGTGAGCATGTCACCCTATGACAGTAAGTGTACTACTAGCAGGATTGCCAGATGAAAATAAACAAAAAAAGGAATGCATTCACCACAGCTAAGGACTGGTAAACTGCAATACATTACATTATCATATTACATTATTTATATTTATATACATTTTAAAGCAGACCTAAAGGAAGAAACTAAACTTTGTTTTGCCTGCTCTACATTCTACCTACATTAACTAAAACTAAAACAATGCACAATGGAATTAGCGAGTTAACCTTTTCTCGCTCTCTCAGCACAATGACCAAACTGTTAATGATAGCTTTTAGTCACCATTTACGAATGGGAGACAGTGGGTGGGGCTCTCAATCATGTGACTGCTGCCACAACCTATTACAATAGTCACATGATTGGCAATTTTACCTCCCGTCTTTCCAAACCTCTTGAAGGCCCAGCGAGATTGAGGTGTTCCAGATAGGTACCAATGAATAGAACTCTTTTAGAAAAATAGAATTGTTTGGCCACAGTAACAGTAGATAAGTTTGGTGCAAGACAGCATTTCATGAGAAGAACTTCATACCATCTGTGAAGCGTGGTGGTAAGAATGTTATGGTTTAAGGTTGCTTTGCTGCTTCAGGACCTGGTTAGCTTTCAGTCAACTATTCAACTATGAATTCTGCAACATTATAAAGTGTGCTTTATAAGAACGTGAGGTCATCTGTCCATGGATAAAAACCTGAGCCATAAATGGATCTTTCAACCCAATAGTGTTCCAAAGCATACTGTATTGTGAAAGCCACCAAGTAATTGCTGAAAAAGAAGAAATAGAGAGTTTTGGACTGCGCTTGTTAAAGCACTGATTTGAATCATATTAAAACATTGTGGGGCATTTTAAACTGGCATTCCATGCAAAGAAACCCACAACCATCTTGCAACTGCAGGAATTTTGCAAAAAATACCCATACAAAGCCATTACCAGCTTTTGGGGCCAATGGTATGCAATGGTATGCTTACTATTTCTAAATTAAACTAGTGATATCTTCATGTTTTCATGTTTGCATGTTGAGATATGCTGAATTATATTAGAGTCAACAATTTCTTTGGGATTTAATAATTACAGACTCACAAAACCTTATATTTACAAATAAATTAATAGTAACATAGCAATGCTATATATGTAATTGGCATATTGGTTTTCATATACATTTATAGCAGAGCAATATATATATATATATATATATATATATATGCAAACTTATTTTATTTAAATTCTATGAGGAGTACTTTAATTGTTACATGACGTTATGTGAGTGAGAAGCGCCAGTGCTTCTAGTTCTAGTTCTGAAATATTACTCCAAGCAGATAAATGACATAGCATCTTGGAGAAGTAAACTTCAAAGGAGTGTCTTACCTTACCATTGTAATATTTAATGAAAATTTTACTTTTGTTTCTTAAATAAACTTAAAACAAATAATCAGAGGAAAACTATGGTCTAAACCTAAAATCTTTCCACAGTTTCCAGTGAAAAAAGCTGTATAACGTGTATAAGATTTTTACTTCTTTTTCTACCAGTGTACGCATTGTGCACACATTGTGAGTGGTCCTTAATGTGTGTATACTGTACATATACATGTATTCACTGTTATGTGCTGAAAGCACGCTCACTGCACACACTCAGCACAGCAACTTAGCTGTCAATGGCAGCTCCCAGTCATTGTTTGTGATCAGGAGCTAGTGGATGGAGTTCCACATCATATGACTGCTGCAACAGCCTATTACAGCACTCACATGATAGGGAGTGTTGCCTCAGTGTCCTTCTTTCAGAACCCCTTCAAGTCCAGAGAGACTGGAGCCAAGGGGGTAAAAATGTTTTCTAATGGTGCGTTAGCTTCTAACATGTTGATTACTAATCTCATAAATCAGAGATCAAGAATAATTGTATTTCTGTGTCTTAAAACCCAGCTCCAACCTAAACACTTTTTGTTTGAGCAGATTGAGAAAGGTTAAAAAACAGTATCAGGTTTTG